TTGTTCTGTCACATGTTCTGTCCCCCTTTGTAATGTACAGCGCTGAGCGAACTATTGGCGCTTTATAAATACTGTATAATAATAATAATAAATAATAATGCAGAGGTGGTCAACTGGAAAATATAGAGCCTGAAGTCCAAGGGGCCTCAAAATAGCAGAGCTCACATCAGCCCCAATTCCTGCATCTTGCACATCCTCAGACCTCAGATCAACCCCAATTCATGGTGCCCATTCAAGAGCATGCACTGTACCTAATAAAAAGCCAGCTACCTTGACAGAAAACGCTGTATAAAAAATGCTCATATTTTGCGTTTAGATACAGATACTGTGCATGTATACTGTTTATGTATAATATATATATATATATATATATATATATATATATATAGCACTACCCTCTTGAGGGCCACTGGATTTGTTTTGGGTCCCCCGAAGTGCTGCACGGCCAGGCACCATGCATTTTCCACACTTGTAGTCAGTAAACAGTCCTTGAGCTGGTTTTTGGTTGTTGTTTTTATTAAAGGATTAACAACTTGGATGGAGTAAAGGGGTATATGGGATGCCCAAGGAATTGCAAACTTGAGGACAATCTTCTTAGCAACAATACTGTCCAAAATATGTGGATCAAAAATAGCAACTGTCTCTGTTAAAGTCCACTTGGTGTACCTCCTCAGACCCCAAATGAACACTCCTCTTCACCCAGCTGCACTGAGGGTATCCATGGGCAAGGGATTGCAAGATCTGCCTGTTAAGCAGTCTTGAATGATAACTAGTTGGTTCTTGCACCTGACTGCCCTCTCCCTTTGCCTGGCTCAGGGGGGTGAAAGAGTACTCACACTGTCCTGTCAGTGTGGCAGTTTGATAGCTGCTTTCCAGCCTTTTGCTGGGCTGGCTCCTTCCCTACTGTTCAGGATGTCCTCCCTAAAAGGCAGTGGAAAAGTGAAGATCCTCCTGTCCAGCAACCAGCCTGTAGATAGGATGGAGTGTGGAGCCCCCTTTCAGGCTCAACACTCCAGCCTTCTCTCAGTCCATCTTCAACCTGACTTCTTTGCTGGTCAGGTTCTGCCAGATTTAAGGTTTGTCTTTGGTCACCATGCCCAGCCTCTTGCCTGGGAATTGGCCACGGTTCCTCAAACAAGCAGATCTGGGCCTCCTCCCTCTTCTAGAAAGCTCTCCAAGTTTTTGGATGGGTGGGAGGGCTCCAGAAGTCCTTACTCATAGAGCCTCCCAGCCTGTGCTAAGGTGAACTCATGCCTCTCCCAGGCTGACTCATCTAAGGCTGCTACCCAGCCCCTATCTAACAAAAAAAGTATATATATATATATATATATATATATATATATGTATGTATGTGTATACTTTTGATCAGCCCAGAACCTTGTACCTTCGAAAATGCAGGGAGCTATAAAAACCCACAGCAAAACACAAGATTAGTCTAATAAATACACACTGGTCTCTATAAAAGCTTAAAGCAACATTTATGTAAACAGAATTCCTTCAGAAAACCATCAAGTTTCTTACTATTGCTAAAAAATCTCTTACTGCATTAGTAACACACACAGGTTTCATCTGCACATCGCTCCAGCGGTTTTTACTGGCTTCAAGAAGGTGGTTGGGCCAGACATCCTTGAGAGCTTTCAATTACAGGCAAGCCATCTCGTACCAGCAACAACCCTTGGTCTATATACTACCTTATATACATAATAGACACCAGCCACTGGTTTGTTGTCCCCACATACATTGACCCTTTCCTGACTTGCTCTTTGTTTGTTTGCTGTGGTACTTGTAGTGGCTGTAGGGCCTGATTTTCCATAAGGCACAGTAGGCATGACTGCCAGGGTACTGACGAAGGGTTGAGTGACCCTGGATGGACCTAGTGAAGTTTCTTCAGAGGACAGGGGAGAAGGTGAGTATTGCAGTGAAAGACACATTATTTCTTTTTTTCAAGCATCTTAAAAATATTTTTAATTCTGAAAGCTGAAGTTAGGCTTTAAATGAGGTTGGCCTGTGTTAACTTCATCTACAAGGGAATTTAAAATAAAAAATAACACATGAGACAATATGTAGGGCAAGATCATACTTTAACCTCATTTAATTTATTTTACCTTTCATATCTCTTTAGTAGATCATCTCCATTGCTTTAAGACAGTGGCATCATGATGCCGTACCAGTAAAACAATTTTTTTGCATAATAATAATAGCTATTTTTAGCAAGGACAGAGATGCTTTATATGTTTCTTTGCATGGTTTATACAAGTTATGTTTTTTATTCATGTTATCTAACAGCAAAGTTTCTGTGGTGCCTCCGTTGTTGTGCCAGAACTTGAAGGGGTGATATACTTGAAAGAAGATGGGAAAAAGTCATGGAAAAAACGATATTTTCTTCTGCGTGCTTCTGGAATTTATTATGTACCTAAAGGGAAGACAAAGGTTAGTAATTCAGCTTAAAGTATCCATAGGTATTGCAGTTACAATTGTTGAACAGTAAAATGCTTTAATTTTTCATTCAACTAGCAGGCTGGACAAAAATAAATAAGATTCCTCCATCAAAACAAATGAGGTGGATGAAGGAATCTTCTCCGGTGGGGTTGTGTATTTAAAGCGAGACCCACTGTTGTCAGATTATACTGATCAGCAGCTGCAGCCACTGACTGAGAAAAATTTTCCAGCATGTCCATTCAACAAAAGTCTGTCGAGCAGTGATGGCCATACACTGATCAAAATTATATCAGTGTATGGCTAACTTATAGAAAACTTGGAACTTACCCTGGGCAAGGGGAAACAGTTGTGACTTGGAGCTTGGACTCCTTTCCTGCCCCCATCTGTCAGAGCTGGGTGCCTGAGCTGCCAATCACCAAGCTCCAACATTGTCACATGCGAGAAAGGGGAGTGAGTTGCATGTTCCTCTACTGTATATCCAGAAGTACAGGTATTTCACTTTGCTTCCCCATGTGAACAGAATAGAGGAAGTAAAAATAAATGTAAACCCTAACTAAATGGTATTTAGTTAGCTCAGTGTGTCATAAATAATTGCCATTTAAAGGATAAGTTCATCTTTTGATAAAAAAAAAAAAATAATAATAATAAGTGCACATTTTCTTTTGCAGGTAAACATATATGCATTTTTTATTTTTTGCTGTAGGAGCCTGTAAAGCATTGCACCAGCGATCAGCAGATCACTGTTGCCATGCAGATCTCCTGCAGACCTGTCAGTATATCCGCTTGCCCGTACGAGATGCACAAGCAATCAGATATACAGACAGGAAGAATCAATGAACTACCAGGGCACTGTGAAGCGCTGTGGTAGTTCAAAGAGAACTAGAAGCCAACAGCCACTAAGACTGTCAGGACTTGTAGTTTCTCATTCACAGAGGAGTGATGCGGCTGGGTGGAAGGAGCCATGAATGGCCCCCTTTTTTTTTTCTAGTTTGACAGCTAGTGGGGGGGGGGTGATCCCCTGTTAGCTGTCAAAGCAGGAGATCATCAGGAAGTGGGGGCCTGTGCTTTCATGACATGTTACATGTTACACCCTGAATATGGGTGTAACATGTTATGAAAGGTGAACCTATCCTTTAAGAGACATATTTGTTTCTTCTGTTTTTTTATCCTTCATTACATTTCGGTGTTTCCAATCCCTTGCAGACTATTTCCAGTCATGTAACATTAAAAAGTGTAAGAGCACTGCCCCCTTATAATGCCATACAAACATGAACAGTTCCTTGTGACTTGTTTGTTGGTGAATTTAATATCTTCCAAAGAAATAAAGTGCTCTATATATATCAAAGCAATTTGTTCTATGTGCTCCTCACCAGTGCTCCCACTCACTCACCAGCTCCTGTGGACTATTAGAATCAAACAAGAATCAGACTCACTTTGTGGGAGGAGATGTTGGGTCCTGCTGTGACTTGTAGTCCACCTCTGTTCGGCTACACTGGCCTATTTCAATCCATCATCAGTGGCAATCAGGTAGTCATGCATAAGGAATGGAGGAGGAAGGCCACATAGTGTAATCCCATTTATTAAATGTCCAAAGAATAAAACATGTACTGCATTTACAATCATAAGATGTAAACAAGCATTAAAAAAACAGAAAATGCTGCATCGGCGCGCTCTCCGCCAGCCGGTAATAAAGTCCCCATGGTCCGCACTGACGCGTTTCGCCCCTCCCACTGGGTATCTTCAGAGGTATTTGCAGCCATGTGTTCTGTAAATACACTCCAGCATTTTGCATATGACATTTCTCAGGTTGGGTCTCCAGATGGTGACAACAGTAGAGCATGGCTGTTTAATGTGTGTTCAAACATCCCCTTGTTGTGTCTATCAGAAGCCATATCACACAGTGACAACACAGAAGCACAATTGGGGGAAAGGAACAGAACATTGTCACCCTATAACAGGAAGTACCTGAACAAGAACTTTTTTGGCAGGATCATTAGGTATTATTTTATTGAAAGCCACAGATTTAAGTGACTTTTAAAATTACAGAAATTTGTTTTAGTTTCTGTAATATTTTATTGACTGGGATCAATTTTAAAGTGGAATTATCCTCACCTCCAGCAATGCGGTGTCATGTGACATCTTCATTAGGTCTTCTTCTGGGTTCTTATCTTCAGCTGTTTCGACTGGCAGGGCCTAGATAGTGTCATATATAGTTCTTTTTTTTTTAGGATGTGCAGCCTAGTTTACATTGCAAACAGGCAGGTAAGAAGAGTTTAATGCAGAAGAGGGGTAGTGTGGCTTTTTTGTATTGAAATGCCTGCCTGTTCACAAATTATTTGTTTTTAAAAAGATTGTACTTTAAAGTGTTACTAAACCCAGGACCCTGCATTCACTATATCTGCTCTCCCACAGCACACAACATGGAAGTGCAATTATTTTAGTAAATATAGACTGCTAAATACATTTTCTCATCAGGAGTTAGAACAGTCTTCTGACTTCTATCAGTGTCCAGCAGAGCACTGGTTAAAGCTTGTAGGAGGAGTTTCCTTTCTGCTCCAGGAGGATGCAAAACCCCTGACCTCTGTCTGGACAGTGCTGATTGACCCTGTGCTGATCACATGCACTCTCCCAAGCAAAACAAAACTTCTCTAGCACTACACACTAAACTGAGTATGTGCAGAAAGGCTACGGGTTCAGTCTGTCTTATCAGTGTGGACCTTTGAACAAGGGGAGGATCAGAGAAGTCAGGATCAAACAGCCTTTTTACACAATGAGAGATGATTAACCCCTTAGGTTCCACAGTGAGTATAACAAGCATGCTTTACTGCATATACAGACTGATGTTACTGTTGTGGGTTTAGTAACACTTTAAGTACAGGTAGTTATTGAGGCTGAAATTGAAGTGACCCTGTTGTTTTTGCCATGTATTTGCAAAGGACAGGTTCACTTTAGAGAGAACCAGGGGCGGACTGACAACTCATGGGGCTCCCGGGCAATAGGGGATCATGGGGCCCCCGTGCCCTTGCCCAAACTCAAAAAAGCCTATGAAAAAGGTACCAGGGGCATCTCATGGGGCCCCCTACTGACCCCGGGCCCTCAGGCGGTGCCCGAGTTTCCAAATGGTTAGTCCGCCCCTGGAGAGAACACTGCCAAAAATAGCGCAAAGGATGAGCGACAATACATTATATTTTTCTTTGAATGAAAACCCACACATAGAACGCCTGGTTCCAGCCATCTTTCAGGAAAACCCTCTTATTGTAAAGACAACATATCCTTGCATCCTTACAGCAGAAAATGAAGCCATTACAAGCAGAATCAATGTGTATTATATTTATAGATTAGTGCCTTTTGGTAGAACAGATGATGAAAAAGATGTTCAAAACTCTTGCTGTAGAGAAAAAAAAAAAAAAAAACAAATGCTTCGTCTTCTCTACAGTCCAGCAGCATTGTAATGGATAATTTATACATGCATTCGGGGAATCATGTAAATATGCTTTGACTGATGGAAGCATCTGGAAGTGTGTATGTGTCACCTCTTTGTCACACGAAACATTTTAAATAGTGCGAATCGGCACAGCAGGAAAATGCGGCATCCAAACAGCTCCTGGGTGCCCGTTATCTTGGGTTGCTATAGCAACCTCTCAAGAGCAAAAAAAAAAGGAGACTTTATAACAAATGGCAGGGAGGAAGGTGCCACATAATAGCTCATCTATTCTCTCACTGTCATTCTACATACAAAGAAAAACAAAATGCATTCAGTTCCCCAGAAGCACTATTTAAAAAAAATAAGAAAAAAAATTCAGTTGAAAATTTTTTTAACATAAATTTTTTTTTAATAAAATCTGTATTAACCACTTGCCTACTAGGCACTTCTACCCCCTTTCTGCCTAGGCCGATTTTCAGCTTTCAGCGCTGTCACACTTTGCGCGGTCATGCAACACTGTACCCATATGAAATGTTTATCATTTTTTTTCACACAAATAGAGCTTTCTTTTGGTGGTATTTAATCACGACTGGGTGTTTTATCTTTTCAGTGCATTCTTGGAGGACGGCACAGTGGCTTAGTGGTTAGCACTTCTGCCTTGCAGTACTAGGGTCGTTGGTTCAAATCCCAACCACGGCACCACCTGCCTGGAGTTTGCATGTTCTCCCTGTGCCTGTGTGAGTTTCCTCCCACACTCCAAAGATATGCAGGTAGGTTAATTGGCTCCTGTCTAAATTGGCCCTAGTATGTGTATGTATGAATGTGAGTTAGGGGCCTTAGATTGTACACCCCTTGAGGGTTAGGGACTGATGTGAATGTATAAATATATATATGGAAAGCGCTGTGTAAATTGACAGTGCTATAAGTACCTGAAATAAATATGACACCCTCACAGAACTAGACAACTGTGCTATAGCCATCATTTGGTTATAGCGCAAGTGGTTAAAGATGATCTTTGGTCTTAAAAAAATAAATTCAAAGTCAGCAGCTACAAATACTGTAGATGCTGACTTTTCAAAAAAGGACATTTACCCTTCCAGGGACCCAGTGCCTTCCTCCTCCAGGCTGGTTCTTTGCTGGTCTTTGGCATTTTTACTTAGGGAAGCCACAAGGAGTCACAGCTGGCTCCTCACTACGTATGACACTCATATGATGCCCTCTCAGAACTGGACACCGTGCTGTAGCCATCATTCGGCTATAGCGCGGTTGGCAAGTTGGTAAAGATGATCTTCATTCTTAAAAAAAAAATTTCAACTAAAAGTCAGCAGTTACAAATACTGTAGATGATGACTTTTCAAAAAAGGACACTTACCGATCCAGGGACCGATGCCATCCTTATCCAGGCCGGTTCTTCACTGGTCTTTGTCATTTTTACTAAGCGAAGCCACAAGGAGTCACAGCTGGCTCCCCACTACACATGAACACGCTACGCTGTTTGAATGGTCCCGCAGCCTCCTGGAACCTGTGACATGTCCCAGGAGGTTGAGGGCAGGGAGGGAGGAAGGAGAACTATCACTCCGATTGCCTAGGTGGTTGGAGCAAAAGTGGGAGCAGTTACCTGCTAAAACTACGGTAGGTATCTGCTGCCCCCCAAAAAAAATCATCCAAAAGCGGGAGAGGAAAGGAGAGGAGGTGTTAAAGTGGAACTTCCCTTTTAGGGTGGAGTTCCATTTTTAAACTCAACTAGGATGAATTCTTAATGACAATTTTACATACAGGTGTATCTCATGACAACCATTCTGTTTTCATTTGTCAAATGATTGGTTGACACGTCTTTGGCCTTGTCCAGGTTTTCAATTTTCTCGGTGATCTGTGAACACATGGAGCTTCCGGGCCAACAGAAAACAATGGCTACTAGACTCACCCAAACCTGATTATAGCCGATATAGTATGCCACAACGCAGGTTGCATCAATGCCCAAACAGAAGCAGTGCACGCAGGCACTATTTTTCAAACCTGTCTGCACAGTAAATACATCTAGGAAAGTAGTAACCAATATCTAAGTTTATAGTTTAAGGATCCATTTCCATTTTTGTGTCAGCGCACGTGATGTTATCTGTGAATGTGCACTGCGTAAGGCTATGTTCACACTAGCTTTGTCAGCAGGTGTCAGACAGGCATTTGGGAAGCGTTTTTAATACTTCTCAAACGCCTATGAAAATTCTGCACATGGCAGCACACAGTGCTGTTCACACTGAAGCGTTAGCGTCGTGTCGCGGCAAAACTGATGCCTCATGTTGAGTCAGGAGGAGTTGAAGCCTCCCATTAAAGTCTATGGTGACGCTCCTCAAACACCTGGCAATGGTTTGTAGGGCGTTTGTGAGGTGTTTGCAGAGCATTAATACCATTAAATTTCATTATAGGCATTTGTGGTGCGGTTTTAACGCTTGGCAAATGCCTATCAAACGCCTCAAAAACATGCATAGGGCGTTTGGGGAGCTCCTGTCTAACGCCTGTCAAACGCTGTAGGGGCGTTTGGCAAGAGTTAGAAATAAAGTCAAGTGTGAACAAGCTCTTAGAGCCCAAAACTTCCAAAAATCAGATGTGACACAAAATTGGCAATGCAGTGAACTATGGTATGTTGCAGCATTACAGTGCCATTCAAAACGTAACATGTACTGGGCCCTAAAAGTATGCAAGGCAGGTGCCTCTGTTGGCCATTGGCTGGAATGTGGAATGATGGGGTTGGTTGAATCTGAAGCCAAAACCTCTGTATGGCATGAGCCAGATGTGCCTTGTGTACATAGATAATTCCTTGAGCACTAAGAAATGTATTTACAAGCAGTGGCATAAGAGCGAGGTGTGCAGAGGTTACATTTATGACCACGATCCTGTTTCTTGGGCTACCAAGGGAAGTATTGTGACCTCTATGAGAGGTAGTCAATATCTGAAAGTGGTACACTGATCCGTTACTTTGCATGCATGGACATAACATGAAAAAATATATATGATTCTCAGGCCACTTTAAAATGTGTCTAACCCAGCAATGGGCAAACTACGGCCCGCGGGCCGTATACGGCCCGACGGACCTTTTAATCCGGCCCGCGGAGCTAGGCTTCCGCTAGGCTCCTCTCACAGTCCGCCCTGAAGACCGGTGTAGCATGAAAATCTGTCTCCTATGAGGATCTGTCCCCCTCGACGTATCTGCGCATGTGCCGGGGATCGCTGATCGGGGCTGCTAATGCCTGAAACTGGCACATGCGCAGATACGTCGAGGGGGACAGATCCTCATAGGAGACAGATTTTCATGCTACACCGGAACGGCGCGGGAACACGGCGAGAGGAACGCGCGGAGCAAAGGTAAGTGAATTGACACAGGGGGGACTTGGGGACTTAATATGGGGGATGAATTAATATGGGGAATGAATTACTATAGGGGGGATGAATTACTATATGGGGGATGAATTACTATGGGGGATGAATTACTATATGGGGGATGAATTACTATATGGGGGATGAATTACTATATGGGGGATGAATTACTATGGGGGATGAATTACTATAGGGGGGATGAATTACTATAGGGGGGATGAATTACTATGGGGGATGAATTACTATATGGGGGATGAATTACTATGGGGGATGAATTACTATATGGGGGATGAATTACTATATGGGGGATGAATTACTATATGGGGGGATGAATTACTATGGGGGATGAATTACTATATGGGGGATGAATTACTATACTATGGGGGATGAATTACTATGGGGGATGAATTACTATATGGGGGATGAATTACTATATGGGGGATGAATTACTATATGGGGGGATGAATTACTATATGGGGGATGAATTACTATGGGGGATGAATTACTATATGGGGGATGAATTACTATGGGGGATTAATTACTATATGGGGGATTAATTACTATGGGGGATGAATTACTATGGGGGATGGGGATTAATTACTATAGGGGGGGGATGAATTACTATATGGGGGATGAATTACTATATGGGGGATGAATTACTATGGGGGATGAATTACTATATGGGGGATGAATTACTATATGGGGATGAATTACTATGGGGGATGAATTACTATATGGGGGATTAATTACTATGGGGGATGAATTACTATGGGGGATGAATTACTATGGGGGATGAATTACTATATGGGGGATGAATTACTATGGGGGATGAATTACTATATGGGGGATTAATTACTATGGGGGATGAATTACTATGGGGGATGAATTACTATGGGGAATGAATTACTATATGGGGGATTA